ACCATGATTATTTTTAAATGGAAGAAATAAACATGGTTCAGCTACTAAAAATACCTCCCCCCCCCTTCATTGTGATATACTTTAATGTTAGTGAATATTAAACCTGTTAATATCTAGGATATAGAAAGCTATTCTAGCTTTTCTCTGAAGACAAAGCCAATAAATCAGCTAATACTTAAGTGTTACAGAAGCTGCTTTAAAATTTCCCACGTGGCTGATAAATAATACTGGCTTCTCATTTACCAGCTTTTAAACATTTTGTTCATTGAGGCAACTGCTGTTGCACCGAAGGGTGAAAGGGGGCTGAATAAATGGAGCGTTTCTTCCTCTGTGCTGCAGTAAAGCTTCAAAGAGCTGGTAGCAGAGCAATAAAGACAGAAACCTCCAAAAACGCACCTGCCCTTGCCGCTGCCCCGGTTGGCGGCTCCAGCAGGCGGGTGCGGGTGAGTTGGTGCAGCAGGGCTGGGCACCAGCCCATTCCCAAAAACAGCTTCCCGGGGCAGAGGAGCACTCTTCGCAGGCTGTTAATAGCAACTCCACCTCGGCGCTTTCTGGTCACTGTCAGCGGATTCATATAAACCATACCCAACCGCCGAGGCTGAAAGAAACCACAGTCCAAAATGCAATTTTGGGGGTTTGGGTTTTTTGATTTTTTTTTTTCCAGCTTTGCTGATGGTGGGACAGCCAGGGCGCTGCCGGGAGAGCCGAGCCGGGGGCCCCTGCACCTCGCCCCGACCCCTGGATCCTGCCCGCCCCGGTACCCTCTGCCCCGGCACCGCGGGGACGGGAAGGTCTCTCCGTCTGGCGCGCAACCAAGGGGGCAAATGCCGGGCAGGGGGTCCCCGCGGGGCTCTGCCCAGGACCACCGCGCTCCGGCACGAGGGGTTCGCCGGCACTGGGGACACCAACGCTGCGGCAGAGGCAGGAAAGGAGGGCAGGTCGCTATCCTCGTCTAGCCCGAAACATGGTCTTCCTTGAGGAAAAAAACACAGCGAGGCACAAATATTTCAGAGGAAAACATGTTTCAAAAATTTCTTACAGTTGTTACAGTTAAAATATTCTTAGTGTAATTTCAGCATTTCTAGATTTTCATCCCGGTTTCACATCCCTACAAACGTTGCATAGATTCATTTTGTTCCTGAGCACAGTCTCAACCTTGATTATTTTGAGGCTGGAGTCTTAGCAAAGCTCTCTTAGTCCCATGAGCTGGCACCTGTAATTACATTGTCTTCCAGAAGGCTTATCAATAAGGAATACCTGAATTAAAGGGTCTCTCTGCAGCTGTTTTTGTTGTTGCCAAAACAGTCGGGTGTCCCACACAGCGTGCCTGGTGTCAGACAAGCAATGCCAGCAGCTCGGGGTTCTCCTCGCTGGTAACGCAGGTTTGAGGTGTGCTGTCCTCTGCTGGGCAGCGTCCAGCCTGGGGCTCCTGGCTAACCTTAGTGTGAAGAAACAAAACAACACAAAACCACTTTATAGGTTAAAGGGAGCCTTTGAAGATACTTCTGTGAAGTGGTTAATGAAAATAATGAATATGCTGAGCATCATGAACGTGCTTGGCCCTTAAACTGAATTTGCCAACAGGGAACAACTTAATCAACCATTCCAAAAGTTCTAGAAAACCGAAATTATTTGCCAAGTTGTGTTTTTTTGGGGGGTGTTTTTGGGTTGTGGGGTTTTTTTAAACCGCAGTACTTCACCAAAAAGTTAAGGACTCCTGACAACAACTTGATAAAGGAGAAAACCCTAACTGGTGGGAAGGCTTTATTTCCTCCTCCGCTCATTTGCAAGCGTGAATTTCATTTTCTCTGCATAGCCTACCACTGTATCCTGTTTTATACAGGTGACAGGGGAACTGGAGAGTCTGAGAACAGCCCCCCTGCCCACTCAGCCGTCCTCAGAGCGTTTAATTTCTGCAGCCAGAGCCGGCTCCTCTGCAAACGGATCAGCTGTGCCTCCCGAGCGGCAGAGAAATGGAGGAGCTGCTGGAGAGAGGCGAGACATGGCCCGGGACCTGCAGCAAAGGGCACGAGCCTGGTGTGCCACGCCAGCGTGCCACGAGCCTGCCCCTGTTTTGGGGACGTTTGTCCGGCCGGGTTCAGGGTTGGCGGGGCAGAACTACAGCGTGCCCACCGGTGCAGCCTTCTCCCATCGGGATGCTGCTGGCTAAGCCATGGCCTGATGATGGCAAGGCTGAGCCTTGTCTTTTACTATCAAACACCAAATTTCACTCCAGTGAAATTTCACTCTGTCCTCTCAATCAAGTCTTTTTCTGTCATTTATATGGAAGAGAATAAAGCAGCCTATAAGACTCAGGGCAAGGATCACCAGTAGTGAAAGGCCAGCTCGGTTCACCCCACTAGCACTTACAGCATTGGAAATATTGGAAATACCCTACCCCGGGGAATGTTCTTGTGGACACGACCCTAGTGCCATATAGCAAGTCAGGCCTAAGGTGTTACTGAGGCAAAACCCCAAACCCCTGCTTCCTCAGGAATACCAAGCTGCTGTTAATTCCAAATGAGGCAGAAATAAAACTCCAGTCAAGCTGTCTGCTGCCAGCAGATGGGAGCCCACTCCTATGAGTGGGAGCCGGGACCTGCCAGCAGCGCTTTGGAGAGCACCGTGGGAAATAACTTCCCAAATACACCGGGAGCTTGTGCGAGCACGCACATGTCCTGAGGATGTGCAAACATGCAAACACATTGCACTGCTGTGCATGGGGGTTATATGAGATGCTTTTTAACCCCATGGTACAGGTTATGCTTTGTACACTGGAAGTAAGGCACTCACCCTTTCAGGACTGGATTCAGAAGCAGAGAAACAGAAGGCTCCTGCCGCAACAGCTAAAGCCGGTTTTCTGAGCCCGTCTCCTGGGGGGAGCAGGAGCCCCTGCCCAGCCGTCCCCACAGCCAGGCTCCGCTCCCTACTGGTCTCCATCCCGAGCGCAAGCTTCAGCATCCTTTTGGTGATAGAAGACACCTACTCAACCACTTCTGTTTCTCTCCTCAACAGCCCCAGCCAAACATTACTAAGTATTCACATCAACGGTAATGGCAGAAGGAAAACACCACCTCCTCGGGTCCGGTCCCGGTGGTTTGCAATAGCTACCGCGTGTACTAAAGCCAACTTGTCATTCCTTCCCAATAAACGGGGTACGTGAGCATGGCAGTACACTCCCCCCCGCCATTCCACCAGCAGGAAACAAAACTTCGAGGCACAGAGAAGGGGAAGGGAAAAAAAAAAAAAACAACAAAAACAAAACCCTAAACCCTGGAGGGCGCAGGTTGAAATTTGAACTGGCTAATTGAGACACACCAGGTGAACCAAGGTGACCCTCCTGGCTGCCAGGATTAAATGCCCACAGGTGGGATTCAACAGCAGTATAAAGGGGGTCTGGCCAGAGGACATGGGGGAGTCAGTCCTCCTTGGAGCAGCGGGTCTGCAGTTGGGGATCCCCCTTGGGTCGGGGCACTGCCCAGAGTAACTCCTCAAGGGAGAGAGCCCTCAGCTTTTGGATGAGCGATATGCACGTTTTGAGTCATCACTTTTAAATCTTTAGGGTTCTTAAGTCAGCTGTGTAGTATTAATTCTCTTTACATCATTGAGCCTGTGGTTTTATAAAATGTTACTGGACTTCTAACTAACTGTTACTGAAGAATAAATCTGAGTTTTAACACCTGTTGGATTTGGTTATGCGTGCATCCGTAACAGTGAAGGACAAGTAGTACATTGCATTGGAATCAAAGACAAGTTTAATTTTTATATTCAATTTATTAAAGATGAAAAAGAACAGGCTGTACACACACTCAGGAAAAAACAAACCAGAATTATTGAAGATTCGGTATCTTTCATGCAAAAGAAAAAAGCAGGATGCTAGAAGTACGTGGTTGTGGTGTGCTGTCATCAGTTTAAAACCAACAGCCAACCAATATGTGCATTAACCATTCAAAATGTTTAGGGTTTATATTTAATACACAAAACATTTATATAGAGGATATTTGTTCAAGACTGACAGCTGAATTGTGTTTCTTTTTCAAGCCTATAAAGCTACTAAGCTGATTTTACTTTTAAAAATTCATATGTAAAAACTGCTAAACAATTTTAAGGATAATTAATTAGAACATAACTTATTTAATAAGTAGAGCATAAAACATACAGCAGTGCTACTGTAAGGTTAGGACCTTCACAGTCTTCCCTTATCTGATGAATATCCAGTGCTGTTTTGTTACACTATTTCCTTCTAGTAGAGGGATTAAAGAAAGTGATTACCAAGTAAGACAGGTGCTTTTTAAAACAAACAAACAAAACCAAAAAAACCCCAAATATTTGCATTGTTACAGCCATCCCACACAGTTTTCAAGCACTTCCCTCGAGCTGTGCTGGAAACGGCCAACAGCACAACCCCAGCAGCCGCCCACGATGGGCAGGGTTTCGCAAGCGGCTTCGTACTTGGTGAAGTCGGGTCCCCACGCTCTGCTCGCCCCATCGCAGCAGCGGGGCCGCGCCGACACGTCCCACGGGGCAAGGGGACGGGGGGCAAGCGGCCAGCGCGCACCTCCTACGTGCACGCGGTGACCTTGCCCATTTGCACAAGCCTGCGATGCGAAGACAGCACAATAGGAAGAAAGAAGAGGCGACCGACACGAGACGTCGAGTCCCACACGCTGTGCCAGCTGGGGGCTTGGAGGAGCTCAGGCAGCGTGCAGGCAGGGTCGGGCACACCGACCCTTCTGTCTGAGCCAGGAGAGAAAGCCCAGGGCAGTCCCAGCAGTTCATGGGGTTCTGAACTCAGACAACAGCACTGAAAGAACACTTAGGTTAGAATCAGACCGATTTTTCCTGCCAGAGATGATGAGAAACACTGCAATCCAGACACTGCAGGGCAACGCAACAGAGATGGCAATCACGGCGAAAAACTCACGTAGCTCCTGTTCTCCCACGCTCCTCAATCGCACCCAGCGAACGCGAGCCAGGCATACTAGAGCAACGCGTTCAACTCATAGATTCTCATTTAACCACTCAACGTACCTGTTCAACAGCCGATACCCTACAGCTAAGTTGGCCGGACCCAACACAAACATCATCACCCCATGAAAGGCATCCTTGGCATGGTCATGCGTGACGGGAACGCCCGCTGCCTGGAGGCGCCCAGCGTACATGACGCCGTCATCCCGCAGGACATCGTGCTCGCAGGTGAGGACGTAGGTGAGGGGCAGCCCACGTAGCTGGGCATCGCTCGCCAGCAGCGGGGCCGCCCTCGGATCCAGAAACCCCGGGTACTTCTCCGCGAGCTCGGAGCTTCCGTAGGTGGGACTGGTGTAAACATAATCTTTCTTCAGCTCTTCAGGCAGCAAATTGCTCCAGTTTACAAACTGAAATAAGTGGCTCGATTCAACTGGGACATGCCTGTTGGAGGCCATCGCTTCCCTGAGAGATGAATCAGAAGTGAAATATTCACTCCAGAACTTGACCATAAGCAGCCTCGGTAAAATGGGCTTGTTTTCATTTTCTCGGTAAGATGGCAAATTCAGGTCAAGGGTTTGAAGAGCAGGGTAAAGCAAAGCTTGGACTTTGAGTTTAGTTTTGACGTCAGGGTCCTTTAACAGCTGTAGAAGAAAGCAGACATAATTACGAAAAGTCAGTTAGAAAGTGTTGGTTCTCCCACACTGACAGATGATCTTAAAAGTAAGGAATTAACACACATACATTACAATATAAGCAAAATAAGATTATCAATAAACCCATGATAGATTAATTTAAAGATATTCTAAATTTATAGGCAGGTCACCTAAAGCAACATGTTGTGTTAAAAATTCTCAAACAAATATAATTTCATTTTATTTCTTATGTTGAAGGATAACAACTTTAGGGAGATTCTTTTTGAAGCATTGATACTTTCAGATGTAGTAACAAATGCTTTTTCTATAACTATAGAAAATTTCTATTCTTATAGCTTAAAAATTACAGGTTTCTGAGGTTCCTTTAATCATTTCACACAATTCAGAGCTTATCCATCTGCTGGGTTTTTTAGCCTGGAGATGTTGGAGCCCAAACTACAATTCTGTGCATTTTAGACATGGGAAAAATAAGATGTGATAAACTGAACACTGACATTTCTTGTATGTCATCCTTTTTCCCTCTTCACTAATAAACTTCCATCTTCTCCCTCATCTTCTGCCTTCAGTATCCACAGCAAATTCACAACCTTTCCAAGTAAGATTCATTACAATCCAAATAACTTCTCAAGAGAGCAACAACATCACACTGACTTTATTTAATAAACCAGAGTGAGAAGTGCTAAAGGCAGTGAACTGTGTGTGATTAAATGACACTGGAACATTTAGACTTTTTTTTTTTTGCTGCTATTTACATCTATATGAGTCAAATTGCTACAATTCCCTTTTCAAACAACATACCTAAACCAGCCCAAACATGCTTAAGGATGGAGTGATATATGCCAAAATTATAGGGCAGAGCACCTTTTTTTAGGGTATAAAGGTTTGGAAGCCATCATAGCTACTTTGATGCCATGAAATGGCTCAAGTAAATTTGCTTGCCTGGAAGCTCAGAGCCCTCACACAGTCCTGCAGGCTGCGTGACATCCTGTGTACATGGACCACAAGAGATATTTGGGAGGTACACTTGCTTCGAGTAGAGGTTTTTGTTAGTCTCTTGTAAGTGTTCATGAAATGACAAAAAAAAAATATCGAGCTAGCAAACCAGATTTTTTTTTTTTTTTTTTACCTGTTGTGCCACAGCTGCAGCTAAGTTGCCACCTGCGCTGTCTCCTGCCACACAGACCCGATCTGGGTCCACCCCATACTGGGAGAGGATGCTGCTCTGGAGGAAGAACTTCGTTACCGAATATACATCTTCAAACTGAACGGGAAAATGGTATTTAGGTGCCAACCTGTAACTGTTAGAGGCAAGCAGAAATGTGTCACTTCCTGCTATTAATGAAGAGAAAGGCTTGCTAACATCTGCCCTAGCTGGTGAATGTTTATTATTTTCTGTGCCCAGAGAAATGGGAACTATCTCTCTGTCCTGGAGGAGCAGGTATTTTATTACCCACCCAACTTCATAAAGCAATATCTAAAATAACCACCAACCACAATTCATCCTTGACAGGTTTTGGTTTTGTTTTTCTTTACTTAAAGCTAGCAGGAAAGCACATGATCAAAAAAAAAGATATACTCAAAATTAGATTAATTGAAATAGATTAATTTATTCCAAACCCTCATCCCATCTAGAAGGAGAATCTCTCTTACTTGACTGATACCACGACAGCATTTAACCTGTTTGAAGTCCACCTTGCCAGATGATCATAGGGTTTCATGCCTGAAATTAAATGGGTCACTTAGAATATGCTCCCGTACATTTGAGAACAGACACTTACACAACAGCACGTTCCTCTTCGCAGAAGATTTCAGGTGACTTTCCGAAGCCGCCACCTGGTTTTAACTGGCGAAATACCAGTTCCCTGACCCTCTCTGTGGCAACTCCCATAAAACAAAAAGGCAGCACTTCACGGGAGCCGTTGAGATCTTCCATACGGACCCCTGGTACTGACACAGAAGAGCTTACCTGCGTGTCCTAGGGACCATCCTCCGCCATGGAAGTAGACCACCGCCCTTCTCAGCCCATCAGACGCCTTTCTGGGCAGGTACAGACGGACGGCCACGTCGCTGAACTCCGTGTCCATCACGGTGACGTTTTCATCAGACGTGGGTGCGACGTACTCAGCCACTGTGATCAGCATCAGAGTTTCCATGTAGTGCATCAGACCCAGCCGATCAGCAACCTCAGCCTAAAGCCCAAGACAAGGGAAAACAGTATTTTAAACACAGCCTGAGTTACTCTCGGAGATTACATTTCCATAAAGCCATTTGATACTCTGTACAAGTCTGTAAATTTGCTGTAGAAGCCGCCAAGCCAAACGCTGCTGACTCGGAGGAGGCACTGTCGCACGGTCACACCGTCCAGCCTGAGCTCTCCAACGCCCATCGCTCCTGTGCGAAGCTCCGTGGCGGTGGCTGGAAGGCCACCCAGGGGACACCACCACTTCTTGCTACGACAGCAACTGGAAGCACAGGCGTGGAGGACAACAAGGACACAACAGAGGATGCGGAAGAAAGCAGAATCAGCTGAAGCCTCCCGAGAGCCAGGATGAGGGTCTGCTCAATGAGTCGGGCATCCTCATCTTTCCAGACAGTTACCACAAAACCGAGCAATAGCTGCTCCGGTGATGAACTCCAGAAGCAAAAGCAGCCAGTACTTTCAGGATGCCAAGGACACTGGTGGCACAAATACAAGGATATAGCAATTTGACTTCAAGATGCACAATAATTGTCAATGATCAGTTCCATGGCATCAGGCAAAGAGCATCGTTTAGAGATGAGTACCCTTACATTATTAAAAGGAAATGTTTTCTCTACTTTGAGACATTAAGAAGACAGAATTATATTTTTGCCACTTTACCACAGTCCAGCTCTGTTTAATTTCTTTGGTTTACACGTAACAATTCCATTAGTTACATACCTCTACATTTCTCTACATAATGAAGCGCTCCAACTGAATAGCAGAATGAGAGTTGTTTTTATTGTCCGTTCCACGCAGTCAGCGGATGAGAAAATTTCATCACACTAGATGTGCCAATATACCTTCCGAACCTACGTCCGGCACCATCATCCTTGAGGGGGATCCAGCTTTGTCCGAGTCATGCAAATGCTTTCTTTACATTGCTTTGACATTTCACAATAAAAAGCTAAAAATAACCTGCCACTGATGTTCTCATTTCCGCCAGCCCTCTGCCCGTGAGGCAGTTCCCTGTTGAACGAGCTGACAGAACAGCTCTGCTGTGGCATCACCGCAGTGGCCCAGCGCTGGCTCCAGCCCGACTCCGACCGAGGACGATCCCAGTGACTCCCTGACCTGGAGAGAGACTCCACGGGACCAGGAGCAGCATCCTCCAGGAGGGAAAATAAGGACGACGCTAACCAGGATCTCCATCTGCCTCCTATGTGCAGTAGTCTGGGGGTCTTAAAAAAAACCCCACCCATAGGGTTAACTTTTTTAAAAGGTTCTTTTTCCCCAGATATCTTGAATCTACCCCAGCAGTACAGCAGCACTGGAGCCCCAGCCCTTCGCAGCCCTCCGAGGGGAGGGAGCAGGGGAGGCCACTGGTGCCCCTGGGCATGAGAGCTATGTAAAGAGCAGGGAAAACTTTCCCAATGGACTCCACAGAAATCCCTGTCAGAAGAAGTGATGTTGTTCAGGGAGTTCAGAACCAAGGAAGCACTGATTTTTAATGCTGTTAAAGCAGTCTCCTTTGAAATTCACGTTTTAAACATTTACTATGAAATTCTATGGTACTAAATAAGATTACAGTTATTCTAAGATGAATAAAAAGAAAACAAAAACCAAACCCTAGCAAGTAAACCTGCAGGTGAAATGCAAGCTCTGAAGATTAATATTTGGCAGCTTTGTCTCTCTGACGTCACAACAATTTACACAGATTAAGGCATTTCAGGATCCCTTTCTCTCACAGGCTATTTTAAGCCTTGAACATAAAACTTTTTTTAAAAGTTGTGTTAGCTTTCATTATGCTGAGTCTTTGGTATGCAAGAGTGAATCCAAGCAAAAACATTTCTAAAGGCATTTGCTATGGACTGTGCTAGAAATGCAGATCCCAACGCCTCCTTCCAAAACCAGCAGCTCCCCAAAGGAGGCATCAGCTGCCTCGGGGGAATTGCAACAAGTAAAGATGTGACCAGTGCTTGCTTATACATAAGTCTCACTGGCTTTTTTTCCCCTTACATTGGATTAAACTGTGTTTAAAGAAACTTACTTCTCACATTGCTTTTAAGGCATTAGAAACTTATTCTGAAAATACATTAAAAATCTGTAATAGACAACAAAGTGACATTAAAAAAATAATGTCATAGTGACTGGAAGGAAAATAAAGCCTTCATTTTCTATACTGTGAAAGATAGTGTAATGTCGTGGTTTAACCCCAGCCAGAAAACTAAGCACGATGCAGCCACTCACTCACTTCCCCCCTACACCCAGTGGGATGGGGGAAAGAATTGGGGAAAAAGTAAAACTTGTGGGCTGAGATAAGAACAGTTTAATAGAATGGAAAGGAAGAAAATAATAATGATAATAATAACAATAATAAAGTTACAATAATAATAAAAGGATTGGAACATACAAACCAAGTGACATACAATGCAAATTGCTCACCACTCCCTGACCGATGCCCAGTTAGCTCCTGAGCAGCGATCCCCCCAGCCCATTCCCCCCAGTTTATATACTGGGCATGACATCATATGGTACAGAATACCCCTTTGGCCAGTTTGGGTCAGCTGTCCTGGCTGTCCCCCCTCCCAACTTCTTGTGCCCCTCCAGCCTTCCTGCTGGCTGGGCACGAGAAGCTGAAAAATCCTTGACTTGGTGCAAACACCACTTAGCTACAACTGAAACCATCAGAGTGTTGTCAACATTCTTGTCATCCTAAAGCCAAAAACATAACACTAGAGCAGCTACTAGAAAGAAAATTAGCTCTACCCTAGACAAAACCAGGACATGTAAATACCTATTTAAACAAAAATTTAGCCACATTAGAGACTGACTGTGGGTAGAGGTGTGATCTCAGTCCCGTGAAATGCCAGCAGTGTGAGGAACCCCTATCATGTGTAGCCTCCTTAAAGCACAGTATGCTACAGCACTGGGCTGCTGGAGCTACTTGCACCTAGAAGGTAAAAATAGCATGGACTGCTTCATGATTTGGGACCATTATATTATCTAATTCCTAATGATATATTAAGGAATGGGGGGCAGGGGGGTATATTTTGTTTATTTTTTTAGATGATGGAAAGGTATGAAGAATACAACTTCAAATTTGCTTGAAAGCCATTTGCTATCTGACTTGCTGAAAGTGAACTAAGGGCTTAGATTTCTAGTTCATTTCAAGCAAAATTGGAAAAATTTTCAAACTAATTTGCATACTACATTTCAGTTTATAGCATGCACCACTCTGGTGCATAGTCTAGTTAAACACCCCAAAAATTAAGAGCTGACACTCTGTGATAATAAAAGCACTTTTCTAAATTTCAGGCCACTGTACAATTCTTTGAACAGGCATAAACAATCCTGTAATTGCACTGACACAACTCTGATCAGAATGCTTGGTTTGGAAGATAACAGAATTAACAGCAGGCCCAAGTTTATTAATCTGATTGGAACTCTTTAGTAAAACAAACGCTCCCGTGACTGTTACTAGCGCAGTGTTATCAATTACTCAGAAAGGAAAGCGTGATGGGAAATGCCCAACATTAACATCAGGGTTGCTGGTTTGTGCACGCACGGACGTGCACGCTCAACATTTTGTGTGGGTCATTTCCACAGCCTGGGCTCCAGGTCGGTGCCCTGCCTGCACCAGCACAGCCGTGGGGACGGAGCAGGGCTGTGCTGGGAAAAGCCACCGCCGGCTCCTGCGCCCGCTGCCGGCACCGGCACCTCGGCTCCTTCGTAAGCGCTCCCAGCCATAGGGGATGTGACCCAACTTCCCCCACAAATCTCGTAACTGCCTCATCACATACCAATAGAGAAGATTAACTAACAAAACCAAGTTCTTAACATGTTATCTGAAGGTGAAAAACAGATTAAACTCAAAGCAGGCTTGAGTCTAATACGAAAGAAAATAGCCCAGCCTAGTGCAGAACCTGTCGGAAGTTTAGCTTTCCGAGAGATGCTTTATTCTTCCCAGGAAGAATGTAAAACAAACACACAACCCACACACACTTTAATTGATCACCTCTTGAAAGGTACAACATCTGGCATTCAGGGTTTGATGTTGTAAATCATACAATCTAACCCTGCTTGGTTTGCGTTTTTAAATTTTTTTTTCTTTGAATTATATTTAAATCAACTGTTTAATCATCTTCTCAATATAACGTACTTTTTCAGAAGTTAGAAGAAAAGAGAATACAGCTAAGACCTTACTGACAGTACTTGACAGTGATTGCCACCATATTTAAGAGTCACCTCTCTGAAGGCTTGGACCAAACGATGCTGGGAGCTCTGCCAAACCCTCTGGTTTGGAATCGAGACGAAGACAAACGGGCTGTAACTGGCACACTGCGCAGAAGGAAAACACAGGTCCTTGTCATAAGCCCAATGAAGACAAATACGTACACATGCCAAAATGGCATCGCTTTATCCACAGTGATTACACAGTTTACATAAATATTTCTCAGCTGTTGTATTTCCCCTGAGGATTAGCATCTTGAAAAAATATATAGGGCAAAGCGAGTTCTGCTGTAATTCCACTGAGATTGTGGAACTCCCCTGCAGTGGGAGGAGTTCCCTCAGCCTCAGGACTGAGGTTTTTTCAATACTCTGAGCTGTTTTTTCCACAAGTGGACATTTTACATTGTGAAAAACCACTAGTCTACTGCCTGTGGTTTCAGGGCCATTATCATATAAAAACAAACGGAAATCATACCCTTGTCTGAAAGATCTCATTGTCCGCGATCTGAGATTACTTACTCTTACAGGCTAAGAGTAAAACCAACCACTTTGGGGTTTTGTGTTCCTTGTGCTTTGGAAAGCATTTTCCACAGTCACTTTCTCTGTCTTCCATAGGAGAGGCATGGCAGCAATGACCAAAAAAAAAAAAAACCAAACCCAAACTGTCCTAAGGGGAAGGGAGCCCCAGCTGTGCCTTGGCAGGCAGAGAGCCCAGCACTGCTTTCAGCAGTGTATTTATCTGAATGGGCAATAGTTCAGACAGAGGCACCCCTCCAGGTGAAGTTTTCCATCAGCTGAACACGAACATGGGCAGTTTGCGAGTGGGGCTGTAAGGGGCTCCAATCCCGATTTGACTGCTGCTGAGGATCCAGGCCAAGGACAGAGGAAACTTTGGGAGGATTTCGCAGAACTGCAGCCAGGGAAAGGTTCAGCTAGGAAGAAAGATGTTTTATGCATTTTATACTTTCTTCATGCGTTTTATCTTAGACTGTGTGCACATGGCACTTCCTGAAAATGCATGAAAAATTTTGTGCTTAAGCACCACAAACTGGCCAGTTTATTCTTAGAGGCTATTTACCAGCTAGAGAGCATGTGCATGCGAGACATAATAATATAAACATGTGAACAGAGACATTCCCAGCCTCCCTTCTGCGATGAGATGGGTATGAAGAGACCCTCCAGCACACCGCAGCTGGGCGCACCGGCAAAACCAAGCACGGCTGCAATCCCCCACAGGCTAACCCCGGGCAAGGCTTAACGGCAGCCTCTGACCAGCCTCCGGAGCCCCTCGGCACTCGCTGCCATGCCCGGCAGAGACTTGGAAAACAGCCTGGGACTGGCAGAGTTACTCATCCAGACCAGGAAACCCAAAATCGGAGAAAATCTTGCACCATTTGGCTCTGAAGCTGGAGAGCTCCCCAGGACATACTAAAGCAAAGATGAAGATGGAGGACAGAGATTTGCCATTTCCTGGCTTTCTTGGCATGTCTTTTTGGGAGCTTGGAGAGGACCCTCTTGCTCAGGAGTGTTTGAGGGTGGCAGTATTATTTCCTTTTTTTCAAACCAACATCAGGGAGTCAGAAAGACTAAAATAGGGTCCGGTCCGCAAATTTAGACCTACTATTAAGTGATTATAAATTGTTGCCCTATAATCGGATCACCGTTCAGAACGTATTTAGGACACTTTAGAGCCATCTCAAATCTAATTTGCACCAGTGCAGCTCCAGGGAAGCTATCTTCATCAGAGTCCCTTTGGATTATGGTTCTGCACGAGATCAGAGCACCGTTACAAAACACGCTTGCTCCACACCACTGCCGCATAACGGACTTGGCAGCCGATGCAACAACCGCAAAAGACACAACTCCATGTTAAAGTGAAAACACACAATCCTCCAACACTGAAAGAAAACACTTCTGCTTGCTAAGCACTGCTGTGCTGAAGGCTACAGGTCTGACCGAGTGAGCAGACACAAGGTGTTCCTGGGGAAACGAGGTATCTGTGCACATACCCTCCTTGCAGGCTACCTCCGAAAGGAGATTTAAGAGGGGAAGAAGCAAGGCGGCACATCGGAAGCGCAGACTACAGTTTTCTTTCTCACCACTTCGTCATCTCCCACCATTCAGACCTCAAACCGCAAGATCAAAACAAGCAAGGAAGCAGCAAAGAGTCCACGAGTAAATACGCACGCACAAAACCCCAGTCGTCCCCCCTCCTTCTGCTGGTTGTACAGACCTAACAAGTGGTCTCCATGGCAAACAAAGGCTGTGTGACGCAGGGATGGCTCTGGAGATGGACAGTAGCTTTGAGATACTGTCCAGAAGTGTGATGTATAGGAGACATCCCAAGAAAACATGCACCCTTGCCTCCACCAGAAAAATTGTAAACAGGTGGCTTCCACAGACTTCTGAAAATCATACCCACTGCGTTTTAACTGAAACAACAAAAAAGGCAAAATCCCAAACTCATGCACTTTGGAGCAAACAGCCTGCGTGTTTGTGCCTGCAGCAGACAAGCCTTTCAGCAACATCCCTCAAGCAAAACTAAAAACCTCTCTCCTGGCTCCTTAGACCCTCCTTTCAGTATGTTTTATGGTGGAAGAAAAAAAAGCAGTCACAAAATGTTTGTAGCCACCCAGAAAGAGGTCTGCAACACCCAGCCCTTCTCCTTCCCTCTAAACCTTCAGCTTTGACCTTGTTTTTAGATCTCAGCTACGTTGCTGCAGCCACCATTGTATATTAAGTACAGATTGGATTCAAAACAGCTCCCAGTTTAATGTACTTAAGAGGTGGGAACTACAGCACTGTCATTTATGCGTGGTGTGCAGCCTCACAGATTATTTACATATGTTTGAAATGGCTGTATAACATGACTGAAATGAAGCAGAAGCCAGGGATGTAGTGTATATATAAAAATAGCATGGAAAGACATAAGGACTGCGTTGTCAGTAAATATTGCCATATAACTACAGACAGGGTATACCACTGCCTTTCCAGACTGTGACATACGGTTCCGTGCTGCTTAGCTAGATACCATTTTTTGGTAGGCAAGATTATAGTGGTATTAAAAAAAAAGTTATATAGAGAGAGAGCATGTGCTTAATTTCTACATGCTTTAGCATTATCACCCCTATAATTAGCTTTGTGTAGTTTTTAGGCTCATTCTGTCAGTAGATTTCTACAAAACCACAGAAATCAATAGTATTTAAGAAGTGCTCTAGTTTTCCCTTCTCTGACACCCAATACAATACTTTCGAGGAAACTCAATGTACAGGTTCTGAGAAACAGGAAAGATACAAGGAACTGCAAAGGATCGTAAAGCAAAATAAACTTGTTTACACTTGTCTGTGCATACGTATCACATTTCCAGTTACTCTGAATGTCCTTTTTTCAAGATTGCACAATTAAGTCTTTTCTGTTTCCTTATAGTCATAGTTACAGTAAGTTTAATGCTGAATTTCAGACACTACTGTCCTTTGCTTAGTATATTACCATATAGATATATTATTGGATGTATGTATGACACGTATATATTGCCGTATCTCTATTAGCCACAGAGGCACCGAGAACACCCTCTGCTCCGTAGCTCTCTCCCCCAGGCCAGCCCCGTACCAAGCCCAGCACCAAACTCACCAGATGCCCCATGGCCCTGAAGGCAGCCGTGATAAACATCACTTTCCAGGGCTCCTCAAGGTCCTCAGGAATGGGGGTGTAGATGTAGTAAGCAAGGAGGGCAGAGGCGAGGAAGAGGCACAGCAGCTTGGCTCCCATGTCTACGGGCACACCTCCTCCCAGAGCGACTGGATTAAGTGCTCCCACTGACTCGTAAGAGCTCCAAGCCAGCACACGCACACAGGGCAAAGTTAATCCTATGTTTTGTTTGGGTCCTGGCCAGGAGGTGATTTCTCATCAGGTCACCCGGAGCAGAGGTTACTCTGCTGTGCAGCTCCAAAGAAAACATGTTTCTTCAGCAAGGAGTTCGGGCGCTCGGAGCCAACCGAGCCAGCGCTGCAACCCCAGATTAAACATCGGGGGTCCTACACCCCCATCGCCCTCTTTGCTGCATTTGGCAGCAAGAGCCAGCAGGAGGGCTCAGGAGAAAAGAGGCAGATGAAAAATAAGGAACAGAATGTGACCTGTGAACCGAGGGCTGCTGCAAGGTGACACTTAAATGCAAAAAGATATATTGAACATTTAGGAGCTATTAGCTGCTGCTTCATAATGCAGCTGCTGAAACACAGCCCAGCTTAGAGATACCCAGCAGGATCAGACTACAGCAGCACGTAACCCGCTGTCATTTCTCAAGCAATAACAAGCACCTCCTGCTTTGGCAAAGCGCACCCTTTGTCTGGTACTAACACACCAAACCAGTTGCACAATAACAGGTTTGGCAGAAAAAACAACGATCTTTTACAGGGCTTCTGGTTAATATTTGAAAGATCGGATTTAATTGCCACTATTCTCAGGGTTAAGAGACTTCTATGCATTTCCCAGAGGCAACCACTTCGGCACAGGATAGACTCATAAACAGGTAGTAATAATTCCACTAAGGAAACACAAGCACTGGCACACACACACAGGAGGGGTAAAAAAGAACAGCTGCAGCATCAAGAACCCTGCTTTATAGATAAACTGAAAAAGTAAGAAGTTCAATTAAAATTTGAGTTATTTCTTTTACTAAAGTTTTACCAACTGCAAAGAAGCACTGCCACTTGTTCACTGAGCAGCCCTTGGGGATGGAGCATCCTTTGGAGGACCAGAAAGCATGAAGCATCACAGAAGACTGAAAGCTGAACCGTGTGTCACCAGCCCAGATGCAGAGAAGGAGGCAGCTTTAGACAATCTATCAAACAGTTTCTTTACTTAAGTTCTGAGCACCTCCAAAATATTAAGGAGTTTTAAAAATCCAGTTGTGCTATCCTCCTCAGCCAGGACGGGACACCTTGTTCAGCCCTTCTGCAGCATAACAGCTGGTCAAAGCCCAACATTCTTGACACCACTCCAACCAAAACCAGGAGAACACACACCTCTCTGGTTTCTTCGCCTGTCCTGGAGGCCAGTGCCAGGTGCTGGGAGAGGGGCAGGTGAATCCAGCCCGATGGAGGTGAGGTTGCCGTGGCCCCATGCCCAGGGTCCAAGGAGCAGCAAGGCTGAGCCTGGGTTCCCAGCTGGTGTACAAGCACGCACTCACACGCGTGTACACGCACTCACACGCGTGTACACACAGGGCTGGGCATGCAGATCAGCAAACCCCATCTTCTCTTTTCTACAGCTCAGATCACCCACTTCTCAGGGGCTGGCTTCAGAGGCTGAGAAGCAAAACACAGATAAAGGAGCTGCATTTCAGGCAAGAGGGGAAGAGAAGGCACAGCCCAGTGAAAAGCAACGGAGGACGAAGCCCTGTCCTCCCTCTGTCCCTCCCCAGGAGCGACATGAGCTCTCAGGACAGCTTGCTCTGCCTGACCACCACGTGCTGTTTTGGCACTGGCAAGCAGCATCGAGGAAGACGTGGCCAGACCTGAAGCTACCACAAAACTGGTCTTTATTTTGTTGCACTTCAGGAACGCTTCACTCTTCTTCCATGCCAATCTCCAGCTGAAGCATGGCTGTGCAGTTACAGCACGTACTATGCACTGTCCTTGCCCCGAGTTCACCTTTGTCTTCGGCAAGAGCCCACAGTGCTTAGCCTTCAGAGGCCAACATCTCATCTCCTGGCAGAGCCAGCCCTCCTGCCCTCCAGTGAACTGCCCCAGCAACCTACCCTAATTCACAGTGATACTTGATAAAGAGAATAATAAATTGAATTCACCATTTACCCAAGGCAATCCTAAAGCATCCACTTCAATACGGAAGCGCCCGTATCATCACAATTTTATTAGAGCTCTTTCAGTAGAGGGGACCAGCTGAGACAGCACAAGACCCCTCTCAAACAGGGGGATGGGGTGCCAAATGAAACGTGAACATTAAAATCCAGATCAATTCCATGGAGCAATTACCCTTCATGTTACGCCCCAACGTCTGGCCTCCACACTGCTGTTGCATTTCAGAGCCCTGCACCAGCACCCACCACTGCCAGTTTGCCATCACATCACATACTCTCCCACTACCTACTGCTTTTTAAAGCAAACAAACCTTGTTTTGCTCTTCCTGCATATAGAACACCAACAAAAAGAGTCATGCAGCATGTGCTCCTTCCTATCTTCTGCATTTTCATATATTCCAAGCTACTGGTGTTTCAGAAAATAAGGAAAGAAAAAAAATTAATGTAAACTTAAGTGGACTAAAGCCAGGGTTAACTGCAATGGCAAGAAAAGCAGTCTGAGCATAGCCCTGCCCAGAGCCAGCATCCCCTGCAGCCACAGCCGTGTGCTCCATGACACAGACGACTGCGGTCAGGATTGCCTGCCACTGCGTATTGCACAGCCATGGAAAGACTTGCCCAAATTAGCTCAGACACTGACCTGCTACCTCAATAAATCAGCCCTGCTAAAAATAAGTATTGCAACATCAGATGGAATTTTCAAGCTGTGGTTTGGAAAAAAGAAATATGTGGGCTTATAACTTACATCTGTTTGTAACGGCCATACCTCTTCACCTCTGTTCTGCTCCTATTGCATTTCTAGTTACTGCACTCTCACAGCATTACTGTGAAAAAATCATCCAGGTCAACCAAGTTCTGCTCAAACAGACCCCGAGGAAACAGCTTGTTTTAGGAAAACACACCAGGAAATAAACCTCTTCAAAGCAGAAAGCATTTGCAAGGCTTTTTAGCAAAAAAAGTATTGTCTAACCTAACTGGGAAATAATTGAGTATAACCTGGCTGTGACTCAGCCCTTAATATAGTCCAAAACGTAAGATCTAAACAAACAATTGATCAAAGACTGTAGTACAATCCTCTTATCCACATTTAAGGCTGCTGTTGTCTATAGGATCTATTTCTAGAGAAAAAGAGAGATATTTAGGTAAAATCATTAGTATCTGACTTACTACAAAATAATTCTTTTTCCTTGTCTGTTAGTTCAGGTTCAGTAGCTGTACTAGGGTCCTTGGGCTCAGGGTTAAGGTACAGCCCTAAAGCAGGAGTACAGAAGTGCCTTACATCACACTCTGGAAAGATAACCATGGTCTCATTTGGGAGCTTTTATCAGTGAAATGCAAGAGTACTAGAAGCTTGTTACATTTACGTATCAATCATTACATTTATTTCATGTCTACAATTTAATTCTCTGATTCTTCTAGAACACCAAACGTCCTTGCAGTTTTAAAACATGGGCCACTTTCTTCTACCAGCTGTAGTGTCACTCCTGCAGGTCACCCATACGTACCACTGGGGACACTTCCCACCTCACTCACCCCATCGCTGCCTTGAATTTTCCCTTCAGTTGGTTTGTGGGGTGGTAATTTGCATATCATTTGCATGACCTACATGCACCTCTCCAAGACTGATTGTCTGAATGGCTGTCGCACCCAGAACCCAACCGGGACACGTTTAGCAAGTGATGGATGACGACTCTTGGGTCACACAGCAGGGTCGCCTGTGACTGTCCTGGCCTGGGGGGCACTCATGGGCATTGGTGGCCCCGACCAGCCTCCCCTGGGACCCCCCCACCCCTGCCCACCACCCGGGGCTCCACCGACGCGCAGCCCTTGCCCAAACTGCGTCCTGGCGTCCTGCACTAGCTGTGGGCTACCTCGAGTGCTGGGCACGTCACTGTCGCGGTGCTCGGTGAAAGCACCCCCTGGGCTGCTGGGATGGTCCCGCTGTTAAAGATAATTTGATCCCGTGATGACTGCAGTGTTTTTATCCGTTGACACCGAGAAGGGTCACGTCTTCACTGAGGTACGGATTAACAGCTTACCAAAATAGCAGCCAAGGGCTGGAAGAGGCATACAGGCTCCACGCCTGAGCAGGTTCGTCACGCTCTGGTTACCCACCTGGGTGGCAGGGGGTCAGGGCATGCCACCCCCCCACGCCTGCCACACTGGGTTGGGGACAGCCGGCCGTCGGCACCCGATCCACCCGGGCAAGGCTCCAGGGGTTAAACGATGGAGACACAGGCCTTGAAAGGGGATGCAGGAAAAAATAGCTACAGCCCCAGGGACAGCCAGCGCGGCAGGGCAGAAACTTGTGCCGTTTTTGTCCCACCTCAGCAGGAGAGGCCAGATGTCCTGGGCACCTCCACCAGCCACTGCCTCTGCTCGCAGCTGTAGCCATCGTATGGGGACAAAAGGAAAGCAGAAATACTCTAGTTAGTTACGCTATACGCCAAAGTGATTTTTTTCATTCCAATACAATATTTTAGGAAATAAACTGAAAAGCCACCGGGAGGCAGTACGGCACTGCAGAAGTTTCCCTTTCCACCAAACAACAGTACTCGAGGGCATTCAAAACCCAGTGAGAAATAACAGGTTCTGTAAGTCCTCTCTCAGCAGGGCAAGGATCAGCTGTGACTGTCACCCAGAGACTCCAAGGAGGAGGGGAAAGGACACAAAGCAACACTGGAGCTAGTAAACACCATCCATGTTTGCCTTCGGTAAAACAAGGATGCAAGCTTGTAGTAAAAAGCAAAAATTTCTTCTTCTGTCCTTTAATACCTCTGATGGACATCCACTGAACGACCAGTATAGTTAGAACAGTGTGGGGCTGAAAATGCTCCTTGAAAGGCAGCAACACCACACCTGCTGTAACCCAGTCTTCATCCAACACAAGAACACACAGTAAACAACAGCTATTTAGGAACCAGCTTAACAATGCAAAACATTAAAGCAA